ATGGATGAATATATGAAGTTCATAGGATCGCGCATCATACATTTGTTTGTTATTATGCATTATTTACAGTGTGTACTTGAGTGATAATTAAACAATTATTATATTGTAACAAAATGAAGCTCATATTGTTTCAAAACCTTCACAAAGGAAAACAAAAAGGAGACATGGAACTTCATTTCCCCAGAATGCCAGGACCTCACTATGTGAACACTTTTTTAAAAAAAATGTACCTTTTTATCCTGGAAACATGGAAAGTGTTGGTTCCACTTTTTCCTTTTTATTTTTTTTAATGTCAGAGTCAAAAGCATGCATTTCTACAAGTACTATCCTTTGTTTGTCGTACATAAAATATTATGAGCTCTTCAATGCTTGCCAGAAATACATGCATACATACAATCAGGTAGAAAGGCTTCTAAAGTCAGGGACTTGACTATCTACAAGCTAATGATATATCTTTAGTTGTTCTCACGACTAAAAAGTTGAATTTTTATCCTAACAGCCTATCCATATTCAGTAAATTATGGTTGGTAGGGTTATAAAGATATCTACTTTTAGGCAGATTGTATTTACACTTTTAGGAGCCTAGGTTTGTGAATATGAGATTAAGTCAACTAATTGTTATGTGCATTAAGCAGTGAGTAAAATGACTATTTTTTTAGTTTTCTAATCTCCACTAGCATTGATGTTTATTTATTTTCTAATCTTGCCTTGTGAAAGTTGCCAAATATGCATTTTTTTTTCCTTTGGCTGTCAGTCGAGGTCAACATGCACAAACAGCAGATGTATGGCTGTTGTAAGGAAAGGCATCATCAGTGTCAACAGAGCGGCCTTGACACCTGTCAAATCGATGCCTAAGATCTGAATACCTCTTCCATTTTCCAAGTCTTCTTTCATTTTTCTCAGGATTTCATCATTTTGAAAGAGATATTCTCCATTTTTCTGCTCACTGAATTTGAGATCTTGGACAACCTGAGGGAGACTGGTAACTATTTTGTGCAGCTTGGCCAGGAAAACTATAGGGAGGCTGTATAATACCAGCATTTCCAGGAAATCTGCCAAGGCACCACAGATGATTTTGGCAATCATCCATCCATCCGTCTTGGAAACAGTGTGCTTCTTAGGGGCCCCGGATAGTGTGGTATTTTTATTACCCATGGGATCTGCTAGCTTCAGGTAAATAGCCAGTTGCTGTGGGTGGTAGTTGCTTTGGTTGCCAATAACAACAAGGGTGGTCGGGTCTCGTGGTTCTTCCCTGGCTCTTGTTAGTTGTGTTTGGTCACTATAGGTCTGTTTGTAGTGGCTTTCCGTTTGAAGACGTTCAGCAAATGAAAAAATTGAGGGGACAAGAAGAATCAGTAGCAACAGCAGATGCATCAACAAAAAGGGTTGGAAAGCCCTCTCTGCATTACGGATCGTTTGTCTGATGTCGATAAACCGATTTCTAGCGTCTTCCATGCCCTCGAGCCACTTTTGTATCTTTTCCTTGAAGAGACGAACTTGGCTGAAGATGATGTATACCGCGAAAATGAACACAACGAAAATTGGCAGGGCCACAAGTCGGGCTAGAACAGAAAGTGGAAGAGTCACAGCGATTTCCTTCAGGTCGAACGATTCCACTTTCTTAGTGGTTATATTCATCTGAATGACTCTAAAGAAAACTGGCACAGCGAAAACACCGAAAAACACAGCCGCGCTTGTCTTCAAGAACGTACGTCGAACTTTTTTCCAATATCGCCTGGTTATAATCACCTCAGAGAGCATTCTTTCAAAGTGGCGCTTTCGAAAGTAAAACAAACCAAGAATGTACATCTCGAGGTATCTTAAAGACCAGACGATGTTTTTAACGGCTGTCACTGTTTCTTTCAATTCTTCCTGGATCAGCGATCTGTTGTGGAATGCGCCCATGTCATAGGCATAACAACAGCCAAGGAAAATTACTATCAAGAACTGCATCACATTCGAAAACACCTTACGTTTTGGTGAAGCGTTTTGAGGGTACCACTGAAATGTGATAAACTCAAGGTAGAACCGCAGCCACCTCAGACGTCGACAGGAAGAATTCAAGCTTAGATTTATCTCAGCGTCGTCTTTAGTCACAGGCTTGCTGTCGTCGATCCCGGCTGCTTCTTTATCACTGTCGCTGTCTTCATAAGTTGTGTATTCTCCATATTGTTCCGACACGATCGAGATCATAGACGAGGAGCGATCTCTCGCACCTTGGAAGTCACCGTTAATGCTCCCTGTTGCGTGTACTGTTTCTACGATTTCGTCAAATTCTCCTCCGCTACCAAGAAGATAGACGGGTCTACTTTCAGAGGCCATGATTCAACAAACAGAGACTGCAAAATCTGCGATGGAAAGGGCGTAGAGCTTCCGGTTATATTACAAATTACTGATTTACTGTAGGGGAATCCCCACTGTCGCTTTCCATTTGATTCTGGCGCTTTGCCACTTCAAGAGAATCGATGTTTCCAACTGCAAAGGGTATCAATTAGAAAGGCTTAAATCATGTATGAAATATAGATTTCTTCGCTATATCGTGCGATAGAAAAGCTTTCTTGCGATAGAAAAGCTTTCGTGAATTGTAGGCCGACAAATACGTTCATATTCGGAATACTTTCCTGCTGTTTTCCTCTGGATGTGTCTCGACTTATCATATCTCTGGACTTTGGCCGGGGAGCTTTGGTAAGAATAATTTTTCTTTTTTGAATAAGTCGGCTCTGTGCCAGGCTATCCAATACTTACTCGAAGTACAGGTGACCATCATCCTTTTTTTCTTCTCGTCTCCTTTAACAACTGTCCAGTGTTGTGTCACCGCATTTAGGGAAGGAAGTGAAAAGCCATTTCCGTTTCTTTATGAACATTTACTTCCGCCAGGAGAAAATTATTGCTCTTGCTTCCGGTCAGCATTAAAGGCTGCGTGTTGCATGTTGCTTATCAGTTTTCCATCGCTCGTAGAAGGTGAACCACTCCCTGTCCTGAGTCGTTAAGAAAGGCCCTCTCCACGTTCAGAGCAAATGAAAGTCAGCATCGAACTTCATTCTTCATGAAACTCAAACTGCCTTTAAAAAAAAAAAACAACTTCACAAGAGCCGAGATCGTGTAGGGGTGAGAAGGACGATGCACCTGGGGAGAGGGGAGGGAAGAGGCGGGAGGGGGCTAACTCGCGTTAGATGATCAGGTCATTTTGAAAGGGAAATGTATTGAGGTTTGTCAACTGGGTTAAACAAAATAAATTTGCCCCGTTAAAAGTTTTCTAATACGAACGTTTCGAGCAGTAGCCCCTTTTAGTACTTTTCGTCTCAGTGCTGGTGGCTAGTGGTAGCTATTTACCGCGCCACGACGCGTCTGATATGCAGAAGGGGTACCCAGTCACTCGCTAATACTTTTATCAACTCGTCGACAGTCGTGGTTGACTATAGTTTGTGTTGGAAAAAAAAAATTGGCACGTTATCTTGAGTAAACGTGACAAAGAATTTATTTACATATTACAACCGTTAAGCACAGAGTAGTTTTGGCGTTTGATTTATTTAAAACATGCCGAAAAAGTATTCGTATTAATGTCAGTAGAAAGGAGAAATATTACAGCGAGGCCTAAGTATTATTTTCAGTTTTGATATTTCTATCCCCTCGATACTGATTGCCTTCATAGTGCGCGGATACGACTAAGTGATACGCGTTTTACAAGATCTTTTGGATGAAACTCCTTGAATTACCTCTTCTACCATACACTAAAAGATCGATTTTAATTTTGTTTTCAAAGGGGGCATAAACAGTGCTTTAAGCGTTACAAATCGAGTAACAAAAAGTAGTGTCGGCGAGTTGACCAAAGGCTTCGGCGAGTCGACTAATGGTGTCGGTGAAGTGACTGTATCAAGCGTGGAGGCGCGGTATGTAATTCCGAAAAGGGATTGAGAAAGTGTGTAGTCCATCTTTTGTTTAATTTTCACCCTTGAGGTTTTGCTAACTCGATATTCCTTCATCGATTTTTCTCAAATAATAACTGGTAATTATAGATTAATTCTGAAAGAATCACTATAAGACCAATAAACCTACAACTGCTAGGTCTGTTATTTATTGAATTAACGCCCCACTCCACAAGAACACGCTTTTGAAGTCTATGGGTGTCTTCTATTTGGAGTTGACCAATCTTTAATTTGAATCACAGGCCGTTTAGTGAGACAGCGTTCTTGGGAAGAGGAAGACGCAAGGATTACAGAACGTTTGAAGTCGGGTATTAATCATTTTCCTACTTAAATAAAAGTAATCATTGCTGGAAAAATGATTGAACCATCACCCTTCTTTTCGTTGACAGGATTGCGGTGAGAGTTTCAAGGAGATAAAAAAACTACCAGTGAAGACTCTGTCACCAAAACTTTGAATATTACAAGTACCTTTTCACGTTACAATACATAATTGTGCTCGCGTGCAACAGCAAAATCAATGATCTCGATTCAAAAATATATGAAATACCCGCACGCTACACTACAAAGAGGTTCATGAAAAAAAAAAAGGAACGTTTCAATTTAAATTGAATAAATCGCCGTTTATCAGAAGATTTTAAATAATGTAAGCAACCACTGCTGTCAATTCACTATAAAATTGTGCTTACGATAAAAGAACTCTCCCCTAAAGAATACCGATTTTTTGTGTGTTTGATCATCCGTGGCCTTCTAAGAGACGCGCTGCGCTAGTAAAGCAGAAATATTCCCTTCAATATAACTTCTACGATAAAGAAACTCGTGCACCGAAATACAGACCAGCCCACAAAACCGGAAATTGTTTTTTTTTTTCCCCTTATTCAGGCGAGCAGGAATAAACGCGAGGCGAGCACTGAACACGCGCGACAGAAGGAGTTCAAGAAAACCGACTTCTTCCGATCACGCATGTCTCGCCTTTCAAGTTTGTTTTAACGCGCCCAAACAAGGAAAGACAATTCCGCCTATTCTGCAGGTTTTACCAACGGATGCAACGACTGCTATCTTTTTTCTCTTCGTCTGAATCAGTTCCCATTGAAGATGGGAACGGTCAATTTAAGCGACCGCTTTCAACCCGAATAAATTGACGAGGGTGGTAGAAAACTAAAAGTTCAGTAAACTTCGATATCAGAATCATTAATATCTTCTTCATCTTCTGCTTCGTCTGGGTCAAACGTTATCAGAGATGAGGGAGAAGATCCAGAAGGGTTCAGTCGTTCGGTGGCTTCCAGAGCCACTGGGAAACGCTGATGGTAGCGCTTCAAAGTGAGATACTTGACAGCAACAAGACGACCTGCAAATCACAGTTTAAACCAAGCGTTAGGAGGGAAAATGATTAATTCTCAGCAGCTATAGCGTGTTCTCTTTTCGAAATTCCAGAGACAAATGAGAAAGTTCTTCCAACGGATCCCTTTATAATCTCTCAATAAGGATTTATTTGATCAAAAGTAAATCTTCATAATTCGTATGGTATAGGTACCAAAAGAGAGTAAACTATTTCCTTAAATTGTATTCTTCAAAACTTACCATCAAACCAACATCCATGGAGACTTCGAAAGGCCAGGCCTGCTGAACTGTGTGTATCACACTTGACGTACACACATCCCTGAAATAATAAATATACGGGTGCAAATCAATATCAAGTATTTCACGAGATATAATAAGAAACATACGAAGAAGAACAACACAAAAATTGCGAAGGAAAAAAAGATGTATCGTACCTCGCTGGAACTCTTATCTACAGCTATGTGAACAACCCCTGCTCCATTCTCTATACACTTCTCCAATATGGCATCTTCAATCATAACATGCCAGCCATCTTCAGTTTCACTACAAAAGTCAACATACAATTGACGAGGTGAGAGATGAAGGAATGGAGAAGTTTGGAGATGTCTAGCGCCTCGTTTTCTTTTGGAAATTTCCAGCAAGAAATGAGAGGCATGGAACTGAAATTTTGCAACCTTACTCAACCACATCTTCCTTGTTGGTGAAAACTCTATTTGATTACTATAATGTAGCAAGGGGGACGATTTGCTGGAGACGTGAACACATATTGAATATAAAATATTTATTGAAAAATTTACTGGACAATTTCAAATGGAAAATAAGATATTTGGTTACTAAGAAATGAAAGAGAAAAAAAAACAACACGATCTTGTAATGAAAAGCCAGCCCAATACAGTAATACCAGAAAAAAAGAAAGACCCCGCTCTAAACAATCATTTTCGGTCAATAATCACTGGAAACAACTATAATTGTTCGTGCTGTACTTACATATCAGGATCAAACATGTTCCTTATTTTCAAACAGGGTGTTGGACTAATCACAGGAGGATTCACAGCAGACTGGAAGTTTTCAAATGCTGCAAAATGAAAAATTACTTAAAAAAGGATTCCGTCACATAAACATTTTGAGCAAACATCTCTTAAGCAAAAAAGCTAAGTCAGAGATTTCAAAGTAAGAAAAAAAGATCATTTGAGTGCCATTATATATATATATTTAGTATAATTTCAAAGCAGAGCAAAGAATTTCCAGCAATGAGATTGGTCGAGCGGTTCCTTAAATGACGCTATATAAACCGCTCCACGAGGTTTATATAAAATGTTAAAATAAAATGTTAATGTCGCTTAAATGTTATGATTTTAGAAATTTCTCTGTTGATCAGCTCTGAATTATACTAAAACAATTATTCGCGTCAGGTTCGGTGAATATTGTCGAATAATCCCCTCGACTTCGTCTCGGGGATTATTTGACGAATACTTGTTAAATATTAACCTTTACACAGTAACATCAGTATGCATATTCTCCATACTAGAGTTTCTTTAGTTACTCATCTTTTCCGTTAATCTCATGACCATAATACATGATTCAGCTGTGAGGATGTAAGGAGAAACTGGATGCACATCACTCTCAGGGGATAAAAGGTTCAGGATTCTGTAGTACCAAGTTAAAGAGAACACACGCAAATGCGTAGTAAAGATGGAGGACTTCCTCTCCACAGTGCGATCTATTTCTGCCGACATATATTACGTACAACTTGCGGATTATTGAAACAGATATAGTGAGTTATTAGCTCAGTATGCAGGCCAGATTGATGCTGCAATCTCATCACTTGATTCTGATCAGCATTCACTGGAAAAGCTACCAGAAACGAAACTAGGATATCTTTCTCACCTTGTCCTTGCCAATATTTGCCATGTTTCGTGCCCTGCAGGAAAGTGATGAAAGAGTTTCAGATAAGCACGCTAGATACAGCTTTTTTTTTTACAGCTGAACCAGGCCAAGCTCAAGTACCTCTCTTCTTAAAGGTTTGAAAATTCAATTGTAAATGTTAAATTATTGTACTGCCCATGAAAACAAGGGTGTGAAAATTGTGGTTACTTTTAATGCTCCATCAGATAGGTTGGGAGGATGGCCGAAGTTTCCTAGATCCTTCACATTGAAATACTTCAATCACTGCCTCTAACAAATTTAAAAATTTGCATTCTGCATAGGAAATACACTTACTGAGAGCGACAATTTGGGGCTGTGAGGTTTGGGTGTAGCAATGTGGATCCACCGCCAAACTTCAAAATCCTCTCCAGCGATCCGTTGACTTTCCACGCGAATGCGAGATTCATTTGCACTCAAAAACCTCACTGCTCTATTCCATGCTTTAAACTTCTTCTGTCTGTTCAAAATGAAACCGAACATAAAGAGTAGATTCTCTACTAGAACAATAACAACGAGGTATAAAGGTAAGTTAACACATCCACTCCCAGAAGTGATTAACCTGTAACTTCTCCCTATAATATCCTAACAATATCCAACAAACAGATAACGAGAATACTCAAACTTATCAGGTAGAAGCAGTTTTCTTGATCTAAGATCAAATTCCTGTAACTAACTTAAAAGGAAATGCAAAAGCAGTTAGAGGGGAGAATTAACAGACAGATCTTGGGTGTTAAAGGAGCAAGTTTGTACTTGAGCCAAGTGGCTCATCCAGATTGAGCTTATCCTGGTTTCCACAGCACACATATAAAGAAACTGGGAATATTTCTACTCCCCCCTGGATAGAATGCCAGTCCATTGCAAGGTTGCCAACCAGAATTTTGTCACGCTATTTATCAGCACCCACTTACAGGGTTGTAGCTAAGAAATTAAGCTGCCGGCTAAAATTCCAAGTGAGGCAGCTCAAAGGTAGTGAACGATTTTAAGGGTGTAACCTTGGAAGTGCCCATTGTACTTTACCAAGCAATCACCAGCCAAAAATCTAGCCAGAGATCACCACTTTTTCATTTTGCAAATTTTACCAGCAGCCAGTGCTAAGTGACAACCCAGCATTTATACTCTGGGAGGAGAGAGGTATGACTTGCCCGGGAATTGAACCCACACCTCTAGAATGGACATCCAGCATGCTAACCATGAGGCTACTGAGGAACAAAAAGGAAGATACCTTAACCCTTTAGATCTCAAGATCTTCTCAGCAATTCTCCTTACTCTCTGCTGTACAATTCTTATGATGCAAGTTTAGAGAATTTGGTATTGGATCAACTAATAGTCCCCTAATTGATATTATCTTTATTCTTGTGGCTTTCCTACTTTATAAGGAGAAAGTTTGTCTTCATCACTTGTAGGAGTGAAAGGGTTAAAATTCCCAAAAAGTGCAAGACAACCACCGAGCCAACTCTCAAAACTAAACTGAACTTCTGAGTCCTTCGTTATGCCATTCGTCAAAGCAACTACCTGACAGCAAGTATTGTATTGTATTTACAAACATTTAGACAGGGTAGCCCAGTTTAGCAAATAGCTAGTTTAAATGGGGCCCTGTGTAACACCCACCCATCCCACCCCAAGGGAGGACATCCATCACACAGTAATCTCGTGCGTGGGAAATTAACGTCCCCTACCCCTAACCCTGCAGGAGATGGGGCCTACGGTTTATTCGCCCTTATCCGAGAAGACTAGAATATCTATCCATTTCTTGATATTATAGAAAGGTAGCAAAATTCTCCTCAGTTATTTTAGATTAAATTGTTTGTTGGCTAACCTGTCAGTTGGAGGTATTAACATGTCTCTTACATGAGGAATAGGTAGATATGGCAGCAAATTCTTCTCAGTTTTACTGGCCTCATGGTGTTCCTGTAATATGTCTTAAAGTGGAAAAATTGAGTTTGTTAATTTTAGCTTGTTTGTAAACAGTTTAAAGTAAGTTTCAATTTTGTTTAACAAGATAAAATTCAGTTGTATGCGAA